ATTTTACTTTGACATAAAATATCACATGAATATAAATGCTGTCACGAACCGTTGAAACAGCACCATTCACAACATTCTTTTAATGACTCGTATATATTTTACCATGTTCTTGGCACATCGAAATGTTTCATTTTTAGTAAACAAGTGTTTCAATGATTTCTTATTTCGGAACATTCCACTATATACACATTTCTATGCAACCAAGCATGCGAAAATATTTCATTGGTGGCGGGATGGACCGGCATCCCTCTAAATTTTCCGGTAATTCCAGTGCATCCACGTCTCTATTCGATGACGGGAGAGAAAGGTATTGAAACACGGGAAAATATTCCATCGGTCGCGGAAGGTTCCGGGACCCTTTCAAGCTTTCCGGTAAAATCCGAGGGCAGGATACGCGCATTCCTTGCCGCTCTGGCGGAAGGTTCCGGGACGCCTCTAAGCTTTCCGGTAATTCCAGTGCATCCACGTTTTGTCTGCGACGACGGGAGAAAGGTATGGAAGCACGCAAAAATATTTTCTCGGTCTGCGGAAGGTTCCGGGACGCCTCTAAGCTTCCCGGTAATTCCGCTGCATCCACGTTTCGATGCGACGACGGGCATTCGTCGCGGAAGGTTCCGTGGCACCGTCGCACGATCAGTGTATCCCGTGCTACTTCCATGGCTGCATCCCCCGAAAAGAAACCCCGATGCTTCTCGGCGCTCCTCCAAAAGCTCGCCAAAATAAACGCCAAAAGCAAGCTCGCCAAATCGCCAATGCAAGAAAAAACAAAAAAAAAAAAAAAAAAAAAAAAAAAAAAAAAAAAAAAGCACATATGTTACATCCTATATTCTCTCTATACTAAGGTAACATGTAACTTTCGTAAGATGTGACCCTCTCTTTTAAAAGATTTTGAGTAATAAAGGATAGGTTTATAGAAATAGGATAAGTATGCAGTTTCTCTTCGAATCTAGTGGATACATATTAGATAAATATATAAGCCTTGCTCTTTTATTTTTTCCATTTTTTCTTCTACTTCCACTTCCTTGATTTCGCCCCTCCTCTTGGACGTCATGGTCGGCGTTAGCGAATCAGCGGTTTTTAATTTGTCTGCGCATGTCATTTCTTCAATGTTTTGTTGCTTTGTTTCAGTTCTTTTTTTTTTTTTTCTTTTTTTCTTTTCTTTTTTCTTTCTTTTTTTTTTAGAGTATTTCTTGGCAGCATTGTTTTACGCCAAGCAAAGTTTGGCTTTAGTGTAACCCTAAAGTTATTTCGTTTTTGCTTTATTAGTATGTATGATTTTTGACTTGATGTAGGAAAACAGAATAAATATTTAAACGTTTCTAATATTAAAATACGGAATTTGTAAGCACGTTAATGACTTTAAAATAACTTCAATGACTAAACATGGAAAGCTTAATAAGAGATATATTAAAATAATATTGGTATGAATTTAAAAAATCCCTTAAGGCTATAAAATGAGTGTAAAAGAAATACGTTTTTACTTTAGCACATACCAGCTTTAATTTGATATTTGTTTAATATTGTTTAATTTAATATTTGTTTGTATGCACAGTTTTGTATGCTAAAGAAAATAGAGGCTTCTAGCTTCAATAACATGCACTTATGGGGTATAAATGACTTGTTGTGGCTCTCATCTTGGGAATTCACGGGGACAGGAAGCAGTCGCCCACTTCGTGAGTTAGTTTTGTTCTGTTCACTCATCATATACAAGGAGGGGGATGTAAAAGGTGGCTATTGTTCGTTATGGGGCAGTTGGCATTAAGAAAGGGCTCTTCTGGTTAGATAAGAAAAAGGGTCGTCAATTAAATTTTGCACAGTTCCTATCCTTCCAAATATACTGTAGACAATTGTAGAACGTTTAGGCGAGGAGAAATAAAGAACGGAATGTGGGAAACATCTGCAATCAGTGTTGCTTATATTTCAGACTTTATAAAGTAAAAACGAAAAAAATTTTTTTAGCCCAAAGGGCCAATTTGGCCAGGAGGGCTTTTAATTTTCGTTCTGGTATTTTGCGTTGATTCACTGTAAATCCAGAAAATGATTCTTAGTGGTGTTAAGATTATTATTACTATGCATTGCTATGCCACAGTGCTTCCAAAAATATCATTGTTCAGAGGTATATTAACATTTTGCTCGTATCGTGGCCTAAAAAGAACTTATTGAATCAAGTGTACAGATATGCAAACAGATATTCGGTACTTGTAAAGAAAATAAAGGTGAATCAAAATATATTATATTTTCGTTTTTCCAAATGTAAAACCATCTTAAGATACGATCAGATTTAGTGTTTAAATATAAAATTAATTATTTGTTGATAACTGGAAAAATTTCATCAAGCAGTGTACATGAAAAGTATCTGCAATTAAGAATTATGCTGTTATTCCGTTTGTAGACGGACGTGATTCTAAGTCCAAGGTTAAAATCGAGCAATTTTATTTGTTATATGAAAATGCTATTTAAAACAAGATCGAACATTTCAGATGATATATAAATATACCGGCTACGTATTTATTTTATGATTTGATACAAAACTGTTTCTTAGCGATATACAAGAAAATCGTATATAAATATAAAAACAAGACAAGCACATTTTCGAGAAAATATACCCTTTAGTGATATGTTTTAGTTGTAACTTTCTATTTTGGCAGCGCCATATAAAAAAAAAAAAAAAAAAAAAAAAAAAAAAAAAAAAAGAAAAAAAAAAGAAAAAAAAAAAAAAAAAAAAAAAAAAAAAAAAAAAAAAAAAAAAAAAAAAAAAAAAGAAAAAAAAAAGAAAAAGAAAAAAAGATTTAAATTGCCATGGAAATCGCAGATGACTTTTTATTTTTAGAGTTTGCAATCTAATAGTTTAAGAGAATAGAGTTAGAAAAGTGCAGCTCAGTGTTTTCTAAACGAAAGTAAATAAAATGAATCCTTTTTAAAATACGGTCCATTAAATTTCTTGTAAAAAGCGTCTATAATCGCTAACAAAATGTTTTATTATTCCAAAGGGGTAATTTGCACAGAAGGAATATTAATTTTGTTTTGGAATTTCTCTTTGATTCACTATAAATGTCGTTTCACTTTTCAAATTGTTGCCACCCAATATTAGAGCCCTGCGTTATGTTTAACGAAATTAAATAATCAAGAATCTGCATGTAATCGTATGAGGTTCAAGGTCAACAAACATTTATAGACGGCGTTCTTTTTATCGTAGAAAAATGATGAAACACAAAATAACTTTCAGACAATGATATGAAACTCTTCGAACTGAAACCTTAATTAGCTTATAAGAAATGAAAACATATAATTGTATTATTTCTAACCTGATAATAGTCAAACTGTTGGCTGAACCGAGAGAGTGGTGATTAAATGTCTATTGTTAAACCAGTGCCTTGAAATATCTTTATCATTTTGCAATTTGTCATTTAAAACGTCGATAGATCCTTTTATTCTGGATAATTCGTTGGTTGGATAATGTCCACATTTGTGTCTTTATATTATTAGCTATCTTTTTTTTTTATTTAACTTCCTTATCCAAAGTAAAGGTTGTATTGTAATCGCGAAAAATTTCGGGTATCATGATTTAAAGCAGATATCCATTTTGACAGCTTTCGAATCTATTTTGAACGATATGTCTTTGTGTGACGTCTATACGTATGGACAGAATAGAACTCTTTTTACAAAAAGGATTGCAAAATGGAATCAGGAGAGAGTTTTTTTTTTTTTTTTCGTGACGTATATGCGTATGTTTAGAGGCAGATTTACAACCGTAAAGTAGTTTTTTTTTTGGGGGGGGGGTTGTTTTTTTTTATATTGTCAGTTTTAAATATTGTCAGTAATAACCTTACTATCTCTCTCTAATTCTCTAAGGGATGTTATGCATTGAAAACTTGTTTCAGAAGAATGCATCTTTCTCTAATTTTTTTCCATTTTTTTTTTGAAAATGCGTATTTTTGTTTGGAAGGATTACATGAATTATTGGTATCTTCTTTTCTTTCAAAATTTAATACATTTTTAAGATGTTTAAATAGTCTTTATTATGTTTATCCTGGAAACGGTAAACGCGTTGTTCTTACGACACGTGCAATTAACACATAGCATTTCATAAATGCATATTTTCATGACATGAAATCCATATTGTCTATAATGTTTTCTGCTTCTTTGTAAAATTTCTTGAATTCAGAAATCATTCCTACATTATTTTCATAAGAATATTCTGACAACCGTGGAATAAATTCATTTAGCATTCCAACGAGCTGTTGGAAGTCCTTTCATTATAAGGAGCTCTTACCTAAGTGGAATGAGGAATATATTTCATCTTGTAATGCTGAGGTCACCAAAAAGTTCTTTCCTTCGATTTACCATAGACTGCATTGAGTCTTTCCTCTCAATTAATTTTAAAGTTTCTCAGTTTTATCTGGTCACGGTGAATATGCAAGTTACCTGTTTCTTTTCAATATAAGATAAAACAATTTACGTGAATGTTAAAAAAAAAGTACCTCAAGATAAAATTTGATTTTCTCAATCCCTACCTTTGATGGCCCTAGATTATGTCTGCAGAACGATTTGAAAAAGTTCGGCGTGACTTGGCCAGTGAACCTATAAGGTATTTCTCCCACTTCCCTACCGTTCCTTCGTGGTGTAGTGGTAAGCACGCTGGGCCGGTATTCCAGAGGTCCGTGGTTCGATTCCCGGCGAAGGCGTTTGCTATTTTTCATCTTCTATGCCTCTAATCCTAATGACTTTACAAACCTATCTGTTTTCATGAGGTCAAGACAGCTGTTCTCTGCTTTTGTTCGTTTTATTTATGCATGCAACATTGAGTGTCTTGGTGAACTTACTTCCGTAAGCCCCGTGTTGTACATCTGTGGTGCACGAAGTAATTGCATGTGTTAAAAAGAATCAAAATGCATCAGCACTTAAATTTATTTACATCTTTAACTAATGAGTTAAGTTAAAAAGACTGTGATAATTTAAGAAATTAATTTGCGTAACAAAACGCGGTATTTAGATAAATAAGTCAAACTATTACACTTATATTTTTAAGCATTCATTAGGATTTTTATTGCAATAGGAATAATCACATACAGAAAAATGTTTGATAATATTGATACTAATTTCTGCATGTTTCACATTTACTTCTTTTCGTCGGGTAATCTGGGATGTACACAGATTTTTAATTTCCCCGTATATTGAGGTGATTCGCATTTCTTTCCATCTGGTGAAGATAGGCGAAAGTTTTTGACAATCGTTGTTAAGAACAGAAAAACTTGAATCATTGTGAATGCTTCCCCCATGCAGACACGTTTACCTGTAAGAAGAATACGTCATTAACTTGAGGAACAGAAATTAATGTTTAATTAGTGTTATAAATTTAAGAAAATAATATTGAATGAATTATTTGTTTAGAGTACTTTATTTTGTACCACCATAAACTATAACATGTACTGCTATAAATTAAAGAAAATAAAATTGCTTATTTGTTAAATTGATTATGGCAAAGCGGCTTAGAATTGTCTTCTCAAGTCGAGGGGTGATTTCAAGAATGATTTTCTAAAGTTGTTTATCTAATGTTCACGTTATATATTAGGGAAACTAAAATAACGGTCCAGCAACCAGCTTGTAGTGTTTACTTTAATTTTCTAATTGTTATTTTTATTTTGGAACAAGCTTATCGTTTACTTTGTTATATTCCATCTATGTCTCCCTGCTAGAATTAGTTTTCAGGATTGCGTTTTATGTAAATGAGGTAGAAACAAGTATTTAAACTGAAATACAGGTCACTTCAATAGAAGAGCTTAGAAGATTGTGTTCTGCCTTTCGGTCACATTGTTGCTGCTAGCCTAATCTTAATTTTTTATTCGGCCGTATTGTTATGTGCCTGATAGTATCCGCCGGTGACCTTAAATAAGGGTCAAATCTGTTAGTTAATTCTGCGCATCTTCGGTTTGTTTATTTTAGCTAATATTATAATATTTTTATGTTTTATGTCTTGAGTTAAAGTCCAAGTGGTATTACTGTAAGCCTGAGAAAAGGGGCATATGTTCATCTATTTTGAGTTGGAATAAAGGGTAAATTAACCCATTCTAGCTTTCAAGGAATACTAATTTGGCTGGAGTATTACAAGCTCATTCGCTAGGATTTGAGCCTGGATCGAATTTCCGGTATTCAGCAGCCTTACATACTCCACCATTGGTACTGGGGCCCATTTTGACGTTAGAAGTAAAACAGTACTGCAATATGCATTCTCAAACGTCCTTATGCAACCTTTAGTTTTGCAAACGTTGGGTGTGGATAGGTACTTCCGATTGCAAATGATTGAGCTTATTGCATTGTTTTTAAGTTACTATTTCTAAATTATATTACTTTATGCAATGTCGAGGGTAAATATGTGAGTTGCCTAGGATTTTATTGACTTTTTAGACAACTCATAAATTTTAGAAGCATTGCATTGGATTCATTTTTGTTTTATATCGGAATCAATTTTACTTCTTTTTGATCATCCTCTTAACACTTTCCGGCACGCTACCATTTAAAGTTGGAATTTTGATAAAAAAAGAAAGGTACGCTGTCTAATTAGAAAGTACACAAGTAAAATTTTGTGAAGATAGCACTTATCGTTTAATTTCTGAGGGTAATTGTGTGGTAATTGAATAGAGCTTCGAAAAGAGTACTGAAACGTGCATTGTTGTGAATGAACTGACCGATGGGATGCGGAGAAACAAAGAATACAGACTCTCAGTTGTCCTAGATTATCGGTGCGCCCGGTCTGGGCACACCTAGTGTTCGCCGTTTGATTTTAGGCAAGATTTGAAGGTAAAAATTTAAAAGTACTATAGAATAAGTAGATTATCATACAGCCAAAAAAAATAACATATAAATTTCTTTTCAAACAATTCCTTTTATATACCCTAAAAAAAATCTGCAATGGCAGTGCCTCCAATTCGTTGATTATTTTCGCTCAGGGGTCTGCAGGATCTGTACAAAACAGTTACCAACGTAAACAGGGTGGTCAGGTCTAAGCTTGTGTTCTTGTATGAACGTAATACCTAGGTTATAGGTACTATGTTCTTGTATGAACATAATACCTAATAATGCATTTTATAAATGAGAGCACCCATTTATAAAACACCGAAGTGCATAAATCATTCCGGACAAATCTTACCATTCCATGTAATAATGCTTAAAGATTGATGCACACTATTTACCATAATTATTGTTCACATCTGAACTGAAAAGATAACTGAATATTGAAAACAATACACATAACTTATCAATAGAATTTCCTGTCTGTTGCAACTCAGGAAGACGGGCAGTATTTAATTTGCATAATTGCTGATCCATTAAACATAGTTTTTTATTCATTTGCGAGTTTTTGAATATCCTTAAAAATATCAAAAAGAACACCAAAGGTAGATTCACAGCGCTTTTTCGTTTTTTTTAACAGGTTCCGACACACATTTTCCCACATCACTGATTTTTAACGCATCGCATAAGAGGTGCCAGGTGGAATACTTGTTTACGAGTATTAGTGCTAGGTTTAGTTACAGGTTCTGGTTTTTTGACGCTTTTATCTTTAGGATTTCTGCTGGTGGGAATTAATGTGTACTCACTGTGGTCGTATTCATAGTCAGGAAGTCTTTGTGTTAATTCTCAGTAGCGACCGGGCAAAATTTTATAGCAATGCGGATACTGCAGGGAAAGAGTGACGTAATATGCTGCAGTGACGAAAAATGGTGCAAAGCGGATCTTCGAAGCGAGAATGTGTTAATTAATTAACATTTATGAATTTGAAGGTCTATTGTCAACTGGTTCCAATTAAGTTTTATAATTTGTTTCATATTTTATATTTTACACACACACACACCACACATACATACATATATATATAATATATTATATATATATATACACTTCCTTTTTTCGAAGTGCTCTAGCAAATTGCGGTAGTTTTTTACCGTAACGATGCGTATTAGCATTTGAAAACACCTTGAATTATCCTAACTTATTTTTAACCCATTGCTCAAAAAAACGAAGGTCATAAATTCTATATTTTGAAATTAAATATCACGGCCAAATCTTGTCTTAGGGGAATAAAACATGTTGTGTTTTACTTTTATAATAAGTGTAAATGTTTACTAAATGTAACTACAATATAAGGTATTTCTCCCTCCTTCTTAGCATGTCTTCCTGGTGTAGTGGTCAGCAAACTCAGAGCGTATTCGAGAGGTCCGAGGTTCGAGTTTCGGCGAGGGCATTCCTCATTTTTCACTTCTCCAGCAAGCAAATTAAGCTAATGACTCTACAGTGGTGCTCGAAATAAAAAAGTGGTGGATGATGATTCTTCACCACCAGGATTTGACGATTGGGTCGCCTAATCTCCAGTTGCCCTTTAAAAGAGGGAGTATTTAAAGTATTTTCATCCACCTTCCAGCATGCCCTCATGGCGTAGTGGTAGCACACTCGGCGCGTATTCGAGAGGTCCAGATTCGAGTCCCCGCAAAAGCACTGCATAGTTTTCATATTTCCTGTTCAAAATAGCCTAATATGTCCACAATATAAAACATAAATTATAAAGAAGCCAAATTACTACACTTGCGTCATTTAGGAGAGCGTTTGTGGTAGTTTGTTATTATTTTTAATCAATTTTTAAAGGAATGTCTGAAAGAAATTTTGTCAAGTGCTTGTTTTTTATGTACGTTTTCAAAATTACTTACCAACTCCAAAAATAATTGGAAGATCTGGCCTTGCTTTATTTCCTTTTGCAATAAATCGGGTTGGATCAAACTTATATGGATCTTCGTAAATTTCAGAGTCATGGTGTGATGACCATACATTCGTCACAGTTATGGTTCCTTTAGGAATTCTATAACCCTTTATGGTTGCATCTTCTAACATAAAACGAGACGATATTTTAATGGAGTAGAACCAGCAAATTTAAGCTGCATGCATCGCATTTGTGAATTTATACCTATTTTTTCGGAATATTTAATTAAAAGTTCATAATCAAACACTATAAATATCAATAAGATAATACAGAGGGTATAAGTACATTTTTACAATGATTTTATTAAAAGATTAAAAAAATAGAAAAATATAAATAAGGTGGAATAAGAATTTAAGACAACAGAATATAATTTGCAATGAAGAATACTATCTGCTACTTTGATTCTTTTTGCCCTGTAGTAATCTGTAAAGAGCGTTGTATGCGAAAGATTACGCTAGCTGGGTTCAAGATATTTTTTTCTATAGTTCTGAGGTCTTGCAAGAGTCAAGTATATAGCAAAGAGCGTCAGCTTCTTTTTCTTTGGAGCCCCAGGCGCAATTTACAATTTCCCACAAGAAACAGATGTAATGTAACACAAGAAGCGGATATAATATAGGAATTTCCCATGGTTAGTAAACGCTTTCAGATAATAATTGTAGTAGGATGTTAATCTCTTGAGAGTAGTTTCGGGAAAGACTGCATAGGTTAATCTACCTGTGTCCTCATCGTAGCAATTCTTTTTGCCCTGTAGTAATCTGTAAAGAGCGTTGTATGCGAATGATTACGCTAGCTGGGTTCAAGATGTTTTTTCTATAGTTAAGAGCCAAGTATATAGCAAAGAGCGTCAGCTTCTTCTTCTTTGGAGCCCCAGGCCCAATTTACAATTTTCCACAAGAAGCAGATGTAATATAATGAAAGAAGCAGATATAATATAGGAATTTCCCATGGTTAGTATACGCTTTCAGGTAATAATAGTAGTAGTATGTTAATCTCTTGAGAGTAGTTTCGGGAAAGACTGCATAGGTTAATCTGCCTGTGTCCTCATCGTAACATTTCTTTTTGCCCTGTAGTAATCTGTAAAGAGCGTTGTATGCGAAAGATTACGCTAGCTGGGTTCAAGATGTTTGTTCTATAGTTCTGAGGTCTTGCAAGAGTCAAGTATATAGCAAAGAGCTTCAGCTTCTTTTGCTTTGGAGCCTCAGGCGCAATTTACAATTTTCCACAAGAAGCAGGTGTTATATAACAGGAATTTTCATTTGTTAGTATACGCTTTCAGGTAATAACTGTAGTAGGATCTTAATCTCTTGAGAGTAGTTTCGGGAAAGACTGCATAGGTTAATCTACCTGTGTCCTCATCCTACCATCTCTCTTGCTATTCTTCTAAGATTGCTGACTTTACGCATTTCTCCGCCGCTCATCTGAGATCGAAATCTACACGTGTATCTTTCATCAAGACTAGTTTTGCCAACTCGTCTACTCTTTCATTGCCTCCAACCCCTGTATGACTTGAACCCAATTTAGGGCAGTGGGGTGGGTAGTTTCTAGAGCTACCAACACTTCTCGTAGCACATCTATATTCGGAGGTTTCGAATTCATTTTGTTAATTCCTTGTGGCACTCTCATGCCATCCGTGTGGAATGTAGTCTCATTTTCGATTCTTTTCCCCGTCCATAGGGTTCCTCTGCGAAGAGCATGCGACATCCAGCAAAACAATAGTTTTCCTGTTTCTAAACTATTTCTAAACGTTTTCCTGGTAGCTAAAGTCCACATTTCGTGATAGAGGCAGAAGCATAATGTGATAGGCGAGAACCTGGGAAAGATGATTGGTTTGGTTTATTAGATTACGGCTAAGAACACGAGGGCTATCTGCCTTAAGGGAGGGATGCCTTCGTGGAGGACGTTTTAAGGGAAACTGGCTCGTATACACGTTACACATGGGGAAAACCACGAGCTTGCATGACAGCTAAGTCTAAATTGTTCACGGTAAACTTCAATGTTGTTTTTAAGTACAACGTAGGCTGCACTTATGCGATTTTCTGACTTCGAGCCGTCAGTAAGAACTTCTCTTTGTCTTCCCTGGGCAAAGCGTTTGGACTAATGTACTTCAATCTCTTGCGCCGGATGTTTTTGCTTGTTTGAATGTTTTTTACTATCGTTATGTAATATTATATTTTCTTTGCCCTTTGCATTTTCCTGGTAGTGAAAGGGTTGGTAGGTGGTGAGTTTCAGCTGCGCTTTTAGGTTCTCAGGCATTGTTCTTGCAATAACCTGCTGCGTTGCAGTATTTCCTCCTTCCCTTCTGCATGCCTTTTTTTTTTTTGTAACGGTAGAACACTCGGCGCGTATTCGAGAGGTCCAGATTCGAGTTCCGGGAAGGACATTCTCTTTTTTCATATTTCCTACATTGAAAAATATCCTAATGACACTACAGGGGTGGATGCGGCTCTAAAAGCTGAGGTGGAATATTAGATGTATTTTTAGATTAGAGTTCGAATAACAAAAAGTGCACGTAAATTCGAATTTTCGAATCTCAAATCATTTTTCCAAATTCGAGGATTAGAGTGTTCCATGCACAGCTTGCACTACCCACAAACTTAGATTTAAAATATGAACCGAAATGTGAAACAATTACCATTTAACATCTCCGTTGAAAATATTTGTAGTAATATGATTCGAGGCAGCATTATTTATACTGTTACAGGTTACTAGTAAATTATTTAAAATATATGATTTTTCAAACTTTCTTAACAATGGCATGTAAACAAACTGTGTTCATTTCTACTTACTTGTACATTCAAGACTGGGGACATACGGACAGAAGTCAGTTGTTCTCATGACTTCAAAGATGAAGGCATTTGTGTATGGTAAATTGCTTTTGTCTTCTAAAGTTGGTTGTCTGTTTGGGCCAACGACTTCCAGAATTTCTCTGTATATCTTATCCTGCTCTTCAGGATGGTTCACCAAAGCGGCAAAAAATGTTGCTATCAACTGGATGACGCTTTGAAGACCGTCTGCTACGAACTGGGCGAGTGATGCCATGAGAGCTTTTTCTAATTAAAAAACAGACGACATTTATTAGGGCACATTGCAAAAACATCGTGGGAGAAAAGAAAACAAAGAGAAAACGTCGCAGTTCTAAAACATCATCATACGATTTCAGGTTTTAATAGTTGTAAATGCATTTTTGCATGACATTTGGGAGGGCAAGAAAGAAAGAACGATTCTTTTACTTATATATTTCATATTTTTGAATGATCTAATAAATTATTACTGAAAAAATAAGAAGAAAACTTAAGCATTTAAAATAATTGCAAATTAATGAAACTTATAAAATAGAATTTTAAAGTTACATATTTAATTAACAAAGGTCATTAATAAATTACTTTATATATAAAGTTTTATTGAAATTTTTGTTTGAAAAATACAATCTAAAAATACTTCGAAAAAGGAAGATAAATAACTGCATGAGGTTACCTCTATAAAAATTGCTTGCTTAATTATCAAATTATTTTCTTTCCCATTTGTTAATCTAATATTGTTTTAGTGAAAAATTACATTTTGTTTTGTTTCCGTTTATTTTTAAAATGTCGTTAACACTTTCATGTGTAGCGTGCAATCAATTTTTTCCTTGTCGATTTTGTTAGTTATAACGAAAGTCAGTTACATAATATTTCAGTATGAGATTTGATAAACGCATTTATGCAATGTTATCATCATGTGATGATTAAAAGGGGCTTTATTTTTTACCAGGATATTTTCAATGACGATGTTTTTAAACTGCGAAGTTTTTGAACATATTTATTTTCGACCACCGTGTTTTAGAACCGCGATATTTTCTCTTTGCTTGCTTTTCTTCTACGATGTTTTGTACCACGACGTTTTCGCCTTGCGTTGTTTTCTCCGCGACGTTTTCGCAATCTAATTCACATAATGCATGCTTCACAGAGATCACAGAGATTTTTAAACTGCGAAGTTTAAAACACACGCAATCTAATTCACATAATGCATGCTTCACAGAGATCTCATGAAATCTCATTGTTTATACTCGGGGATCCTGAATAATGTTAGGAAAACAGGTTTACTACTGTAACACGAAATATGCATAATTTAAGGTTTTATAAACATAAATGAAAGAATATTAAAATAAATCAGAAAAAACATTAAATAGCATCATAAAGAAATAGGAACAATAGATATATCATAAAGAAAAATAAGAGCCTAGGTATACCCAAACAGCAAGGATGCATAATAATGATCATAATAAAAATCATAAGGGCACTAAATAATAATAATTTAGGATATTAATTAATTGTATTATTAATAATAAGTACTTAATTAATAATGAAGAATATTAAAACAATGTCATGAAAAAACGATAAAATACTATACAAATAAAAATGATATTAAAGTTAAAAAATCTAAAAGGTTTCAGATTTTAATCGTCACCCAAAGGGGTTTGTTACGGTTTTTTACGTTCTTGCTGAGCTCCTAGTCTACCAGTCTGTTGTTACACTCACTTCTACTAATCCATCTTTTTTGTCTTTTTAACTTTATTATTAGGGCATCATTTCCTTCGCACTTGCGCCATATACAATTCAACACATAACCCCTTAAGGAATAAAATAATCTATATTGAACAAAGAAGAAATGTAGATTCCATGTATATTTCCTTTCTCTTTAAAGTAAAAGTTTTATACGTACTTGTAAAATATTTAGCTGTGTAGTCACCTTTGCGTCGACGTTCAATCCTTTCTTTAAAATAAGCATCGATTATATTTCGAATATGGTCTTCCTCGAACGTTTTTTCGTGCTCGTCTATAATGTCATATAAGGCATTCTCCATAAGTCTTTTGCTGGTAATTATACGACTATACCCACGCTTAAGAGGAAAAAATTAAATACCTGTAAGATCAAAATGTTTAATTAATTGAATGATAACTGCAACAATATATTAATAAGAAAGCAGTAACCTCATATTCAACGAATAACCCGTTAATCTAAATATGTTTAAAAAATATGAAAGCCATTAATAAAATGAAAGTAAAGAAAAGGAAAACCTGCAAAGATTTAGAATTTAATGTTGCAAAGAGGATTTGTTAAGTTTTTCTCGGTGAGCTCTTTTTTTTTTTTTTTTTTTTTTCTTCTTCTTCTTCTCTCTCTTATATGTTGGTTAATTGTGCAACTTTTGCTTTGAATTTGGCTGAAATATATTGTTCTTACGTTCCGTTTAATGTTTGTATGCCTTTAGTTAATCTGCATGCAATAGTTGTAGAATTATCAACAATTTAAAAATTTAAGTGGCACTAGGCCTAATGAGACCGCCATTTGTTTACATTTGAAATTCTGAGTAGAAGAGTGAATTAAATCGGCTTGGTGCACCAACTGCAGTGACCTTTTACTTAGTAGAACCAAAAGTTAACTTTCAGTTTTATGGACCAAAAATTTTGTTATACTACCCGTTGCCCGAACTGCTTGTTTTTTGCCTAAAAACTATAATTTTAATTGTAAATGCTGTCTTTTTAGTTGTTTTTCACTGTATTTGGTGTCTTAGGTTTTCTTTTTTTTTTTATGTGCTTTACAATTTTTAAAGAAGTTTTGAGTTTTTATGTATTTTTGCCTTGCCGGGAAGTGAGAACTGAATTAATCGAATGAGAAATATATCTGTGAAGAAATTCGAGGAAATGGGACTTGAAATGGAGTTGAAAAGCAGCAAAAATGTATATAGTTTAACAGACCATACAAGGAAGTAGAAGAAGGATTTAAGAAATAATAAAAAATATTTACAAAGGATATCCACAAGTTCTTTTACAAGAATAATTATTTTTTGGGTAAAATTTATTTGGAAACAACGACTGTATGACAGATGCTTTATTTTTCCACGTAACTATTGCTTTCCAGGTGCTTGTTCTTTTTATGAAAGTTTTGTGAAATCGAAAATTACGAACGATGTTGGAAAGCCATTAAGCAGAATTTTTGCTGACAGAAAGGGCAGCACAATCTTGTAACGGACTTAGACTCTATAACTGACCGAGCTATTGCGAAGAGCAATGTTGCCGGTTCCAGAATTAAAGCCCAAGGGCACTTGACATAAAGAAAGCCGGACGTGGAGAAAAACTCAGATGAGAAAACGGATATAAGGGGAAGAAGAGAAGTACCAAAAGGAGCAAGACAATCCAATCGAACAAGTTCGCAAAACGTGATGAGCGATCGTAACTTTCAAGGAGGACCCAAGACAATGGAAATCAATGACAACAATATGAGAAGATACACTACAGCAATAGTTCCAATGACAAATTCAAATACAATTAAACAACCTCAATCAGTAGTGCTAAATACAACACAATACAAAACAACTATACAACACAATTTTAATACAACTATTCAACGCGATACACTACAGCAACTCAACAACAACCTAAGCAACCTATTTACAACACTACTATATCATCACAAAGCGAAAAATCTCACAGCACTAGTTTTTTCAATCTCCAAGAATAACTTCAATCAAAATCAGATGCGTTGAAAGTATAAACAGCTACCGATTCAGGAGCTAAGTGAAAAAGTTGTCGTCTCCTCCCATGAAGGTGTGAGCTGCAAGTGGTCTGACGCTTCTATCTTCGAAGAGAATTTCATAATTAAAGACTTGGGAGTAATTAACAAAGTTACATTGCAGAGCTTTGTTGAAGAATTTTTCATTAGATCTTCTGATGTAATCTGGAATCGTCTCCAGTTTTAAGTCTCTGTGTAAAAGTTTATTGGGGATAAGATAGTGTGAATCAGTAATAATGCGCAGAAATTTGTTTTGCACTACTTGTAATTGATGCAGTTGAGTTTGAGTGACCGTGTTCCAAGCAGGAGCAGCATAACAAAGTATCGGTCGAATGCAAGTGGTATATATATATGTTTTTTAATACGCAAGCTAAGATTTGAATATTTTCCAATGGCTGAGAGAAATCTGCATATTATGCCCACAGCTTTGCTCTTGACACTATTAATGTGATTAGACCGTGTGAACCTTGGGTTCAAATAATTCCTAAGTATTTGGCCTTTGTGACCAGAGGAACAGCTTCCTGAAAAAGGTAGAGATCTTTAAAAGCAAAGTTTTTCTTAGTTTTGCTAAGAATTAAAAGTTGTGACTTGCTAGCATTGATTTTTACTCGCCAATTTGTGCACCAGTCTTCTACGGCATAGAGGTAATTTTGCATTTTGTCTATTGCATGATTAGCTTGGATGGATTTAATTGCAATCGTCGTATCGTCGGCATAACATGCTAACAGAGAGTAACTGTCTAAACCAGGGTGAGAAAAATCTGATATGTAGAAAAGATATAGCACTGGACCGAGGGTTCCTTGTGGGACGCTGAATATTATAGGTCTTGAATTGGATTTTTCATTTCCTTGAGCGACGAAGAAAGTGCGGTTCTGCAAAAAGGAGAATATCAGAAGATCAGAGTTCTCTAGGAAGTCCCAAGTTGATAAGCTTGAAGACGAGCCCCTCATGCCAGACGCGGTCAAACGCAATCTTGTAACACGATATAGATGTTTATTACATATACTCTGAACGTATTTTTGAAGTCGTGAATAATAATTTAATAAAATCTAAACTTAAAATAGTTGCTTTGAAAACAGAGTTACGTTATGAAGATAGAAAAACAACAGAAGAATCTAATAATTTAGTTAATATTTCTATGCGTTAGCTTTGTGGAATTAGATTACGTATTTAGTTTATGTTCTAATCTGATGAAACTACTGATGAAATTCCTCGCTTTCAGTTACTTTTGGTCGCTAGATGGCAGCACTCGCCCATGGATTCTCGCTGTGTTAAACCTTTAAATAACGACAGTGCCCTCGGAGAATAACTTCAAATATAGGTATAAATTTATTTTATTTGATATTTTAAATGCTAAATGCCTGTTGTATCCCGATGACCAGTAAGGAATGAAATTCATTTCTCACAAGATTTTTTTTTTTTTTTTTTGTTGCCACGACTTTTTATTTAAAAACTAAACAGAATAAAGTTCAGCGGAGTAAATGGAGGTTTAATTACATGCAAACTTTCGGTAAAAATTTCACTTCATTACCTATTCTTAAAATTTATATATCAAAATAGTATCATGAAATAATTTTGAATAAATTAATAGTAATTTGTGCAAGAAAATAGCTACAATATTCAAATAAATTTACATACTGAGGTATCTTTCCTATGAGAAGCAAGTTTGTAGGTATGTGTTCCAGTATTGCCATATATGGGTCAGTAAAGTTCCGCATTTGCTGTTCTGTTATTCCATTCTCCCCAAACATGATCCGACGATAGACATTAGAACATTTGCTATGCAGCATTTCAATGACAACGATTGGCTCACCATTCAAGTTCTGAAAGTCTTCGGTAATCGAATTAAGAGCATCATACACAGGTCCAGAAGCATTATCTTTCAAGGAATTCATGCCGATGTCCTTAAAAACTTGAAGAAAGAATTTTCGAAGGACTTTCCATGGCTCTCCATTGAGAAAAGGAACACCTGAAGAATATTTTCTTAAAGGACTTAAAGGATATTAAACATATACATTTCTGCAACAAAGACTAAAATAACCTTATTTAAATGTTTGTAAAATTGGTAAAACTGATATTTTTATTAGCCTTATAAGGTATTTTTCCCGCCTTCCCAGCGTGCCTTCGGGGTGAAGTGGTCAGCGCACTGAAACGGTTATTTCAGAGGTCCGTGGTTCGATTCCCTCCGAAGTCGTTGTTCATATATTTCAATCTCTCTTGCTTCCGAAAAATCATAATGTCTCTACTGCCTTGTAAGATCTTTCTCCCGCCTTCTCAGCATGCCTTCGCGATGCAGTGGTCAGCACGCTCGGCGTGTATTCCAGAGGTCCGTGGTTCGAGTCCCGGCGAGGACATTGCTCATTTTCACGTCTCCTGCTTTAAAAAAAGTACCTAATATTTTTACAGTGGCGCCGGAACTAAAAAAAGGTGGTGAATGATGGTTCTTCACCACCGGAATTTGGCGATTGGGTCCCCTAAAACAGCAGTCGTCTTTTAAAAGAGGGAGTATATAAGGTATTTCCCCCGCCTTCTTAGTATGCCTTCGTGGTGTAGTGGTCAGCACCCTCGACGCGTATTCGAGGAGTCCGCGGTTCGAGTCCCGTGGAGGGCATTATTCATTTTTCATCTCTCCTGCTTCGAAATAGCCTAATGACTCTACAGCCTAGGAGGATATTTGGTAGTTACATTTCAAGGCCTTACAGTTATCAAAAATTAAAAATTCAGCAATGCTTGTCAATACGCACTTTCAGTATTGTTTACCTATTGGTATTTTTAAAATTGACTTTATTTACATTTTGAAACCAAAAGACATAAAAAAAAAAAAAAAAAAAAAAAACTAATTACCATCATTGAATGAGAAGCTTAGCAAGCTGAATCCACTGTATCTGGCGGCGAAGTATTCAGCTTTTGTAATATGGACTTCCCGGATGATCTTTGTGCTGCCCAAATTGATGTACAACTGTCCGGCCAGCCTGAAGCTGAAGATGTCACCATACGTCTTTCTGTATTCATCCAACTGTAAGTAGCTTTTTTCGCCTTTCAAAAGTGGATAAAGGCCTAAAACTGGCATTCCACGGGGTCCTGGGGGTAATCCCCTATCTCTCATGAAGCAGTATACTATACTCAGAAGAATAACTGTTGCAGTAACGACGACTGTGAAGGGAGGTACATTCAAGAATTTTTGGGTGTAATCAGATATCATTTTCATATGTCAAGACACTAAACACGGGATCTGGAAACAAAATAACATAATTGGTAACAAAAATGATAATAAAATCCATAAATAATCCTTATAATTAAACTTCTGACTTATTGCTAACTCCGAGGTTTGAGTAAGAAGCTCTGGTGTAGTAGGCACAGCCTTCTTTCAGGCCTTCTAATGTTCATTTTCCTTGTTTTTTAATGAAAGAAGAAGCAAGATTTTAAAGAATATTAGGATAATTCTAGCGTCTTTAAAAGATAGTTTACACTAAGTTTTTATCTGAGCTAACGTCCACATCAGACACTGCTCTACAATGCTATAAAAAAAAAAAATCAGTTTTTCTTCACAACGCACACAGTTGAAAAATCTGAACTCCAAGATTTGATTTGGTTTACTTGATTATGGCAAAGCACTCGAGGATATCTACCTAAAGAATGGGATGACTTCGTGGAGGACTTTCTAAGGCAAACTGGCTCGTCTACGCGTTACGCCAGCCCATTCACCAGATTCGAACCTCAGACTGAACTATAAGTGTTCAGTGACTTACCGCTTGGCCACTGGTAAGCCTCACGTGTCGCAGAGCTAATCAAAACATGGAACTGACTCCGGTGTGACCCCAATTAAACCCCAGTGTGAACGGCCCTTTAAAAACGTGGAAATTTACGCTCCGCCTCGTAAGTGCATACTCCAATGTTTTTTAATCGAAAAACGTTCTATATCTATTAATTAAACAAATTCTATATCTTTTAAGAAATAATGCAGTGTATCTTTTTAGTTTTAGATCTAAGTTTAATAGTTATATAGTTTTAACTTTAGTTATAATACGTTATGGCACAGATATATTTGATAAATAGAATGAACATTGATTCTAATTTTTGTGGCATACCTAAAAGTACCAATACCTCATTTTGCAAAAACTCACAAATAAAACGAATTAAATACAAAATGTAATACAAAAATATTAAAACATTTTTAGTTTTAAGTAACTTCAGTGTGTTTGAGTCTTCAAATTACAAATTCTTTCAATGTCAAGCACATTATTAGAAACCTAAATTCTGATACCAAATGCAGCATCAAGCCGGTTGCTATTATAAGGTTATTTTTATTTTATCCTTGTGTAACGGTTAGCACACTCGGCGAGTATTCGAGAGGTCCGGGTTCGAATCCCGGCGAGGGCATTCCTCATTTTTCGTGTCTCCAGCAATCAAATTAAGCTAATGTCTCTACAGTGGTGCTCAAACTAAAAAGGTGGTGGATGATGATTCTTCACCACTAGGATTTGGGGAGTGGGTCTCCTAATCCTCAGTCGCCCTTTAGAAGGGTGAGTATATAAGGTTATTTCCTCCCTCCTTTCAGCATGCCTCCGTGGTGTAAATGTGAGCACACTAGGCGCGTTTTCGAGAGGTCCACGTTCGAGTCACGGTGAAGGCATTGCACACTGCTCAGATATCCGGCTTCAAAATAACCTAATGTCTCTACGTCTCTACACTATATTCAGATTTTGCATAACCTGAAAAATCCTCTTGCACAAGAAAGAGGATATTTGTCATAAAAGGTAGTAAAACATAAGTAGTTCGTTTTGATAACTACAGATCTGCCATATTTATCCCAAACTCATTGGATTGCATTTCTTCAAATTTTTGTTTTACGTAGGAGTCATTTATAAAATCAATTAATTTTTCGAAACTCAATGCGGGGATATCTGTCTAATTAGTTACCTTTCGTCTTCACACACATATCTAAGAATTGTCATTCAGGGCATTATGGGAAAAACTGAAATTTTGTAATATTTCGTCGTAAATTTTACTATCTACTTTTAAAAATTCTTCATTTGAAAAGTCATCCAAGGTAGGTGTTTCAAAAGAGATTCTTCTTTTCTAATTAGCTCAAACCAAACTAATAAGTTTGAATACTGAATAAGGACTCTCATAAGATCTTAAGAAGAGTGAAACTCTTGCGAAAGACTCATTCATATGAATAAGATGACATGTATGTTATATGAATTTAGAATCGTAAAGTATAGACAAAAGCTTTCTCGAGAGATGCATTGCTGTTGCCACAAAAATTTTTTAAAATAAAAAATATTTACTGGGCATTGAAGATACAAGTGCTGTCATGGTACAGTAAGATTTATTAGTAGTTTGACAATCAAATTTACTCCCTTCTAATGATGAAATCCATATTATTCTGGTATATCTATAATCGTTGCGAAACATTACAATATTGATTTTTTAAAACAGTAGTATTTTAACGAAAAAGAATAACGCCTTTGTTGTACACAAATGAACATAGAGAAAAGGAAAAATATCGGTTGCCTAATCTGTAATGTTAGATTACGCAAAGAATGCTTTACCCTGTACCATGCGATGTAAAATCTATTTCATATAAAAAAGTTTTAAATAAAAAAAGTTACAAATAAAAAAGAATATTATTTTTACGAATTGTGCTTATTGCTTCTCAATCACTTGGTTTGAAACACCAATATTAAATTTGAAAGTTAAATATCTCACGCTTTGTTGAAAGGCAACGCGCTGGTGAAAGGAAATAATAAGTATTTAGTTTGAGGCAGTGACAACATATTACTTTGAAATTGCCGAATTTTTGGATTAATACTCAAAGATGAATATCTTATATGTTTATTTCGAACAATATTGTCACTTCTTCCACTGAATCACTGAACGTTTTAAACAAAAATGCGCTAAATTTGTACAAAATATGAAACAAGGTAAGTAAAACTGACTGCTTTTCTGAATTATTGTAGTTTTACTCATAAATATACACTGCATTACTATTTCTCACTTTCTCAAGCTTCATTACGTTATTAAAATTTCACTTATTTATTTAGGTGATTTTAAGAAGACCAATAATAAGTAATCTTTCTCCTAAACGGCCTTAATCGAGCAATTGTAAACATTCTTTTTTATGTTCACATATATTTCGGACATTTTCATTCTACTTAAGAATTTTATAAGACTTAATGTTTATTTTTTAAGAGTTAATTCACTTACCTTTCTCAGAACAAATGTTTGTAGAGGAAGTCTTTATTCTCTCTTCATTCTACAATTATTGAAATGTTACACACCTCAGCTTTATTCTTTTTTCAAAATATGTGCACCATCATGAAAAATAATATGATGAATTTTCAAAAATCCATTGTACTTGCTGCTACACTTAAGTACGGATGAGAAGAATATAATTAATAAGATGAAACTGCATAAAAAATTATTTTTATCTCGTGTTTTGCTTCTTAAAGGAAATATATTTTTATTTTATGTTAATTTAGCAACAAGGGTTTTTGCAATATACAATTTGATTTCAGAACGCAGAATTGAGATTTCGAAAGTAAAATTGGTTTTATTACCATACTAGCAGCTTCGCTGCCAGCCTTCGTCTGGCTTTTAAATGTACCGGAAAAATGGCTGAAGGGAACTCCAAGCGTTAAATTTAAAAACTGCGTAGAATTTTACTCTGCAGAACAACTTCATAAAAAAAAGTTATTACGTATCACAAAATTACAGTGAAATAAGCAATATCCTTTAATACAAATATTAATTATCCTAATAAATAAACTAACCAACTTCCCTTTGCAAAATCTTAAGAACTCAAATGGTATAAAGGAGGTTAAGAACTTTGCTTCCTAGAAAAATTACTCAAAACTTTTCAATATCTTAAAAACAGTGAAATGAGCCATAAATAACATAAAAAAATACAAAAAACAAAAAAATCTGAAAAGCAAAGCATAATTAATGATATTTTGTCTTATGTTTTAGACAGAAAAAAATTACAATGAAATAAGCTATATCTCTTAATGCAAATATTAATTATCCTAATAAAAAAATTAACCAACCTTCCGTTGAAGAAAAAAAAAATGATGCAAAATTTTTCAATATCTTACAAACAGTGAAATACGTAAGCAAACAAATATCATGAAAGCAACTCAAAAAACATAAAATTCCGAGCAGAATTTTACTGTGCAGAACAACTTAAATATTAAATTAAAAAAAAATAAAAATGTATTATATATATATAAATGACAATGAAATATGGCAATCTCTTAAAAACAGTGACATAAGAAATACGATGAAAAATTGTTGCCAAACTCATATTTCTAAAAGAATGTAACTATTCAAAATGATGCGATTTCATCAAAAATCTATCAACAACAATAAAACAGGAAAATGGTTGCCAAAATCACATTTTTAAAGATGTGAGATGTGAGAAGTGTACTCGGAAGCTTCATTTAAAAAATACAACATATCATAATTTTTCCAAAATTCTTTTTGTAAAAGCAGTCGCAAGGATGAAAGTTTAACATGTTCAAAAATCAAAGAAAAATAAACTGTACATTTTAAAAAATAAACCTTTTTAGAAAAAATCCCTTTGAAAAGGTGTTAAGCTCCCTTTGTTAAATAAATTCATTAATTCAAATCTATTTATTGAAACACGAAATTTAAGTTCGTAAAATAGCTAAGTGCCTACGTTTCATGACGATGTGAAAATGGAGTGTGTAGAGTAAAATCTCGATTTCCTGTAGCCCATTATGTCTCAAAATGACGCGATTTCGTAACAAAATATAAAATAAAAAAAATTCAAATTCGAATTTCGAAAAAATCGCTTCGATGTGCACTGCCTCTTGTCTAGATGAATTCAGACCTTTTCCCTACATGCATTCGTACTCAAAGAACACCGAAGTACACATAGATCATGCAGTAGTAAAAATAAATGTAAAATTATAGTAGAAACAACTGAGAAAAAAAAACCGAATAAAACCTAATTACAAAATTGAGATTTTTTTTTTTTTTTTTTTTTTTTCAGAACGTTACAATAGGAAAATGGATCCTAACGAATAAATTTGAGAAATGTGTCCATTTATCTAATTACAAAGGAACAAAAAAGGGCATTCTCGATTAATTGAAAGCTTGAATCGTTTGTGTAAACGACTAAAAATATCTAGAAAGCTGAAACAATTTCAAAAACTAAAAGCGAAAACTAATAACAAAATCGAAGAAAAGGAAGTGTACCGACAGCTCTGACGTACTCCTAAAAGACAGTCTCCCAAAATGGAGGAAAAAATCAAATAGAGAACCGTGTGCCGAGAAGGGTTGCCAAAAATTGCCATCATCAGCATGGTGGGTTACCATTTAGTAAGAAAAGCACCCATGCCTTGTAAAAAAGGTGGAGATAGATGCACTGGGTGACAAATCAAAAAGGAGCTAAACACTTGTACACTGACAACCAATAAGTATTTGGACACCTGTGACAGAAAAGAAAAACTAACTTTATTGTAAATCAATAGTTGGTAGAGCCTCCACGAGAGGTAATTACAGCGTGGACCCTCTGGGCCATACTTTCCACAAGTATTTATATGACAGCTAGTGGTATTTTCTTCCACTCGGCTTGGACAAGACATAGAAGTTCCTTCACCGATTTTACACGGGTAGTGCACCCCTGAATTCGGCGATGCAACTCGTCCCAGGGGTTCTCGATAGGGTTCAGGTCTGGACTCTGGGCAGGACAGTCCATTCGATGAACTCCATTGGCACCATACCAAGCCTTGGTTAACGTCGAAACATGACAACTGGTATTGTCGTCCTGAAAGTAACAGGGGTCCTACCCGTAAAACTGCCACAACGTAGGAAGCACATTGTCATCCAAAATAGTGCAGTAGACATCGGAGTTGAGCTTACCATGAATGGGGACTAAATGTCCCAGCCCATACCAGGAGAAACACCCCAGACCATAATCCCACCTCCGCCAAACTTTACTGTTGGCACAAAGCATTCTGGCAGGAGACGTTCTCCAGTCAAAAAAGACAAAAGTTAAAATGTCACATCTTTTATACGCTATCTCAGTTTGAAGTAAAATGGACAGACCGAGACCCTGCCATCCGAACGGTAAAGGGTGAACCTTGATTCGTCACTCCAAAGAACCCGTTTCCACTGATCTACGGTCCAATTTCGATGTGCTTTGCACCACATTAACCGAGCAGTGCGGTTGGACTTTGTGATCAAAGGGCTTATGGGCAGCAGCACGCAGCACGACCATGAAACCCTAGCAGATGTTCTTCCTTACGGATATATTTATTGAAACAATACTCCCGGATGCCTGTTGAAACTCCTCGCGGATGAGGGCCATCGGTTGGGTGCGGTTCTTCCGAAATTTCTCTGGACAGCACTCGTCGATCTCTATCTCCCAGTTTCGCTGGTCTGCGACTCGGGGAACATTCCGACAATCAGCGCTCACCTTCCACTTCTTAATCACATAGGCCACTCTCGATTTTGGGTACTTCAGATCTCTAGATATGTCCCTTAAGGATCGGCCATATTTGTGATACCCGATAATTATACCTTTTCTCGAAATCAGAGAGCTCCGAACTGCGAGGCATCTTGCATGCGACTAAAGCCGGTGCTGTTTCCTACACGATATATACCGGCGGAGTCCGTGGCGTACCTTAGGACCGCAGATATCGTCACTTGCATAGGTGTCCAAATACTTATTGGTAGTCAGTGTATTAAACCGCGCTTGCTGCACGTCAAACTATTGGTGGTAATTTGGATGGGTGGGCAGAGGGTGAATCCTTTGAAGAATGGAAACGTAATGGAACGAGAAAATGTCGTCCTTGTTTTCAAGGTCTAAAGAAAAAGTCAAGATGGCTAAGTCACTGTACACACACACACCAAAAAAAAAAAGTTAAAATGTCACATTTTTTACGTTTAGTTTGAAGTAAAGCGGACTAATGAAGACACTATTTTATTTAGCTAATTGTAGTAAACAATTTTAATTGATAATCTTTCCTAAAAGCTTGTATTTTCAGATGTCCGTGTGCTAACGGGGTCCTGGCGCACGCCAGGTTTGCCAGGCGCTTAACTCGGCTCTGTCAGTGTGAAACTCAAATTAGATATTTAAAATCAATAATGTGATATCAGAAACTTAACGGTAGCTTACTTTGTGAAATATCGTTAAAATTAATTGCGTCAGAGAGTACATTATAGTCGCAGTAGAAGCAGTGTCAAACGTGGAATGTTAAAGAATTTAATGGAATTCATTCGTAAAGAAATCGAAAGCCGCGAAAGAGTTACGCAGTTGAATGACATTTAGGGAAACAAAAACAAAACACCGATCGAAAATGATATGATTAATAATTGGAAGCATAAATTTAACAATCGTTCCCATTCCACTCACGATAATGTAAACAACAAGCGTAATAAAATGTTTGAGAAAAGTTCGCCTAGAAATCATGACTATTCTGCTCGAGTCACTAAAAATAATTGTATATATTGAAACGAGCTAAAATATTCTGAACGTTGTGAAATTAAAACCGTGGATCAGAAAAATGTTTTGAAAAATCAAGCTCGTTATTTTTTATGCCTTAAATATTTTATGCCTCAGCATAGAAAAATGTGTTAAATATGTAATAAAAAACTCCATACATCTATTTGTTTCCAACTCAAAACAAAATCAGATAAAAAATAAAGTCGTGTTGGGAAATTCGCCCCGTAAAGATGTTCAGATTAGCCAATTAGAAACAGAAACGTTTCGCAGCTCATTGCTGCAAAGGTGTACTGTAATGATACTCCATTCTCTAACAATTTAGAAGCAGTGCGTATTCTATTAGACTATGGTTCGATGAGAAGTTTTATTATTGGGAACATACTAGTAAAATTTAAAGTACTATTATTCGAAAAGAGTGTCGGTATTTGCGTGCGGGATTAACCAGGCAACAGAACGAATGTACAATGTTTTGAAAGTCAAACTCGAAAATAGATATGAACCATGGGTACAGAAAGTAACAAAATATGCACCACTAATTTATCTTTTTCCTGATGGCTGAGTTTCCAAAATTAACAACGAATTAAGAGGCTTACAATTGGCTGATTCTTGTTAATGCAGTGAATAGGCATACCTGATTCTCCACAGACATTGGACGCATTCATAAACTTTCTCGCAGGGTACCATGAAAACAGCCTTTCTTCATATAAATATGAACAAATTTTATTAAAACATTGTCGCACGTTTTTTGTCTATATATGCGTCTTGTCAGCTAAACATGCTGTCGGCTAAATATCTTTCGGCTAAATGTCCTGTTTGCTAATTATTAAAAATAGTTATTTCTTTTAGTACAA